TTTCTTAGGCACGATCCATGTGTTTCTCTTTTAAAATGCTAACGGATCGGAGATTTTAGTGGCGGCGACGAGGGGACCGCGTCGAAAGAGACGGAGCGCTGTTATCGGAAAGGGTCTCTGTGTCCGTGACTTTTCCCCACTCCGAGCACCCCGAGGGCTTCGGATCAAACGCTGATATTATTATTATATTTGCCATCAACACTGGATTCACGATAGTTATTCAATTACGAGTTTTGGCTTTCAGTTTAATAAAAGCAAATAAATACGTTTTACAAAACGATTGCATTTGTTTTTGTGGCAATGCTACTTCATAAATTGTGGCCATAGTCGATTTCATTTTTAAATACCCGTGTATTGACGTAACGTGGGACGCCCCCTGGCTAGGTGATGCGATGACCTCCACACGGTGGCCGGCAAGAAGTGGATGAGGAGAGCCGCAGACCGGGATCAGTGGTGTGGATTGGGAGAGACCTATGTCCAGCAGTGGACGACTGTGGGCTGTTGATGATGATGATGATGATGATGATGTATTGTGCGGCAAATGAATAGGAAAACTGATTTGAAACGTTGTGATTATATTGTGTTAAGTAGGTATACCTGGTTATTAGAAAAGTTGTAACTCGCCTGCGATATTTGAAAATCGGTATAGTCATATCGCTGGCTACGGGTACAACGTGCGCCTTAGGCTACCACGACTTCTACTGATACAGCATATCTCTGAACGTTTAGACCCGACGAAATACTTTGCTGTCAATTAAAATGAAAAGCCTTTCGTCCTTTGAAATAGAATGCTTCTCGTCTTTGGTCAGTACCAAACGACATTTGAACAACATTATTAAAAACATATCTAAGGATACTAAAGTAGGTATATAAACTAATTATGTTTAACTATGGTGCTGGATATTAAGAAGATGTTTAAAATTACTTTTTTAGCTCATCTGTATAGATCCGGGATACATACATATAAAACACATCTTTAATTCTGGGCGTTTGATTTCAAAGTCAAATGGAATCAACATATGGCAGATACAGTGCGATAATGTCACTCATGCAAATTATGTAATTTTTCAGAAGAAACGTTGGAAAATTCAACATCTTATTATATAAGTCTTATATAGTTCTGTTAGGCTATAGAAATAAAATAAACTTATCAGTAAAAAAAACATCGCTCGCGACTCTATATAAACGTTTTGCGGTTAAACGTTCGATCATGTTGATCCTTGGTCAAAGATTACGCTTTCCTTTTTTAAAATAACTTCCGTGCCGCGTTTCTAATTTGTTGGTGTCCTATTAAGTTCTTCAGGGATATTGGTTACATAATTATATGTATAAGTTTTTTTTCTATTATTATTAAGCTACGTGGACATATTTAAAAAAAAAAAATAACAGTCATTATATTTGTGAATTTTTTCATATCATATATGATATGATGGTTAGATGGGTGGACGATTTCACAGCCCACCTGGTGTTAAGTGGTTACTGGAGCCCATAGACATCTACAACGTAGACGCGCCACCCACCTTGAGATACAAGTTCTAAAGTCTCAGTATAGTTACAACGGCTGCCCCACCCTTCAAACCGAAACGCATTACTGCTTCACGGCAGAAATAGGCAGGGCGGTGGTACCTACCCGCGTGGACTCACAAGTGGTCCTACCACCATATTGAAATTATATACAATATGAAAAAAACAAATAGCAATAAAAAAAAATTGAATTATTGTTTTTTGCACTTCAAAAAAGGTCAAAACGAAAGACGCTTGAATGCACAGAATATACACATAAATTTTATGTAAAATCTTTATTATTTACATGTGTTCATGTGAGTTATACGTAAATGTGAAATAATTAATTAAACAATACGACGTTTCACTGCGTACCTACATGAATTTTTATATGAAAGTTTCTTCATCATTAATTATTCTTCGCGTCGGAACGAACAAAGGTTTCGCTCAGTTTCAGTGACCTGCGACGGTTTATAATATCCATGCATATTATAGTTTTATATTTAAAACGAGTGAATACACAATCGAACCGGATTACATACGAATCTGACGTTCTGGCAAACAGATTCCAGCGCCGAGGCGATTTCAAGCATGAGTTTACATTTTCATCGCAATGCGACTCATTATGGAGTTCTGAGTATAGCGGTATTCTCATTTTACATGGAAATTATTTAATGATTCGCTTTGCTTAAATTTAACGTTCCTGTCTTTTATGTGACGCTCATGAACTTTACATATATTAAAGAGACTAGTCACGGCTGTTGTTCAGAATCAAAATCGTGATTTCTTTGCTATTGTTAAATCGAAGAAATAATATCGAATTGAGGCTTTTGCCTTGGTGTAGCATAGCGAGGTTGAAAAAGAGGTAGCATTAGGCAGCAGATTTATTGGGTTACTGGCATTATTTGATCATACTCATCAGTTGAAACTGAATGAGATCATACGGAGCGTAGGGTTTTCTTTAAAAATTAAATAACCTATTAATAATTTAGCACACAAAAAAAACAAAGTCTCAAGTAGAATACCGAATAGTACTTCACTGTTCACTTAAGTATTTTCCAACAAACAGGCGCTAAGTTTAAAGTAAGAACACAGTTCGATCCACGTTGGCTTCACTGTCCCAGTCGCTTTAAAGTTTGTATACTATTACATAAGTAGGTTAAACTTTTACAGTCTTTGTCGTGGACAATTTTCTTGCACCCGAAGTGAGCTTGAGAGTTTTACATATCGATGTTTTTCATTCGATCACAGTTCTGATCTTTTCAGTATAAAAACGTATATCTAAATTAAATTAGGTTTTTACCTATGTAGTTGCCGTTTAGTATATAAAGAGTATGGTAAGCTGAAGTGGAAATGGGCTGGCCATATTAGCTAGAGAACTGATAACCGTTGGAGTAAAAGTGTTCTTGGGTGAAGACCGCAAATTGGCAAATGTAGTGCAGGTGCCCTCAGGCTCGGTGGAGTGACGATCTATGCAGGGTAGCTGGCAAACAGCTGTATGAGAGAAGCCGAGGATCGTGCACAGTGGCGTGGAATTGAAGAGGTCTATGGCCAGCAGTGGACTGCTATACGCTGATATTGATGAAGATGATGATATCATACAAAAAGTAAAAATCATTTTTTTTCTCTTTTGATCAAAATATTTATCCACAATATCGATGCATATATCTGCCAGAACAGGGACAATTTGTCAATACCCTCTTGAAAAAGTCAGGTGTGCGGGAGCCAAATTATATAGATTTCTTTTGTGCCAAAAATTGTCCAAACTCTGGAAAAGGGGAAGTCTGTTGGTGCAAGGTCTGGTGTGTACGATGGATGGATGACACAAAACTTGCAGTTCTAGCTCTTGTGGCTTAGACATCGTCAGCTGTGCCGTATGAGATCGAGCATTGTCGTGTAAGAGTAGCGGGTACTAGCGTTTAACTAATGCTGGAGATTCGCGAGCTTCTCCAGCATTGTGTCCGGTAGACCACGAAAGAATAACCAATAATTATAGGGTTTCTTTTCGTTTGAGTCATTGCCTAGGTGCTGAATGAGAGCCTAATCAACACAATGACCGCTCACGACTATTAAAAATAATCCATTTTTCATCGCAAGTGATAATGCGGTTCAGAATCCTTCCTTTCTATTTCGCAACGCAAGGCATGCCTTAATGCGTTTGTCGCGCTAGCGATCGTTCAGTTCGTGCGGAACCCACCCACTTATAAAGATTTTTACCTTGGCAATTTGACCCTAACGGAGAAATATTAATTTGATTTAAGCGTTGAGAGCTGCTGATAACTCAGCAGTAGATTGAGTATCGCCAGCTTCAACTATCGCCTTTGATTCGACGTTGTTAACTTTATTTTTTGCGCGAATTCTTAGCTCAAAATTGCCATGTCGGAAGCGTTCAAACCAATAACGAATCGTGCGTTCATTTGTAATGTTCACTTCGTACACATCATTGATGTGTGAGCCATTTGTGCGGTGATGATACCGCGACGGAGTTAGTATTCTAAATTACTCGTATTTTTATCGTGTCCAAATTGGTGAATAAGATAGAAATGAAGTGAAAACAAAATAATAAATTAATAAACATATTATTAAATAGAATTCCATGCTTTTGAAATAAAAGTCATTTAAACTTAGAATTTACTGCCAGCAATGTATAAATTACGTTTCAAATGGCCAGTATTGTAAAACGGCTATTATTATATATTATTAATACCATCCATGTCGTTTCGCTAATAAAATTATGTGAATGTTACCGCTTGTAGCAATTAATGAAACGCGAATAAACGTTTTATTTACCTACGATAAATGCTCGATATAACGTAAAGTTTTGAAATATTCACTCAATCATCAAGTTCTATTAAACACGTTCACAATAAACAGGTCTGCGGCATTAGTGAGCGATTCATAGTCATCATAAGTCATCTACACAACGTCCAATTTAACGTAGACTCGATATGTCAATCACTAACGTATTATCGGTGAAGTTGGTATATTTTCAAGCGGTCTCCGGTACTGGCCAGCACATGCATATATAGGTTTTGGCACACCAAACCACAGACGTGTTCGTTTGATGAACGCGTTGCAACAGACCGCAGACGCCACGCCTCTTAGCCCCTTTCGTGTCGAATTATACAAGATGCACGCATTATTTACATAAAGGCCGTTTATACTCATTATCTGCACGATAACATTATCTAAATACGACAAATAGTCACTCGAAAAAAATATTTTTCGATGTTTATACGCAGATTTGTGTAGCGTTGAAATGCTCGAACGGTTCATTGTCTTGCTTAAAAACCAAAAAAATTGGGTTATTTTAATTAAATACGGAACGTAATTGCAGATTTTATTAATTCAATAAACTGAAATTAACTACCATAGAAAATACCGTATAGTATAATATAAATTTGAATTTTCTTTTATGGTAATAATAAGCTATTTATTTTTGAAACAGCAAGATTTAGTTCTAAATTGTACAGTGTTTTCCTTTTCTATTGTTTCAGATTTCAAAATGGGTTGCTTCGTTAGTAAAGACAAACTTACCAAAGAAGACATGGACTTCCTTAAGACTCACACTTCCTATGATGAGACCACCATCAAGGAGTGGTACAAGGGCTTTAAAGTAAGAATCATTGTAATAATCATAATTTAGCACATTAAATAACATACTCAATTTAAAGATAACTAAACTAATATAAATACTATAAACAATAAAAACTCTCATGTCCTACGTTATATAAAGTCGTTAAACTTTTATAGGTGTTCCTATATTTATGTATGTGATTTACAATCATGATCATGATATTAGTATGAATTTATCAATATGTGAGAGAAAATCATATCAAGATAAAAAACTTTGATTCCCGATTACTTAAATTCTCTTGTACCATATCAATATCAATAAAATTATTCTATTGTCAGCCTTTTGATAGAGCTATTAAGAGTAATTTTAGCTTATCCCGAAATATTAGTGCTCACGCAAGAGAATCCTAATCTTTTTTGTGAAGGTCGCTGGCATTGATAGTAATCGTATACATTTTCAAGTGGATCTCCTGGAGTGGCATTATTCATGACATGTTTGACGTTAGTAGCTTAGGACGATTACCCATAAACGGATATCAAAGAAAATTACAGTATTACTTCTAATTATTGATGTACTCTCATTAAATATCCCGCAGAATTCCCCGTTAATGATATACCAATTTCTCTGTTTCATTAAGTTATCAATCTATTAAAATTAGATAATTCTGCCGCCTTTTCTTGTCCTTTAAATCGCGGGGTAAGAAATATAACTTAGATCGAACACATCCAAGTTTCCTACAAGCTACGTTGTTTTTGAGTTTGTAACAATAAACTTGGAAGTGCTGTGCTAGAAATATATTGCATGGACGCTCGGGTTGTTTTCATTCAGCGGATTATTAACTTGGCTCCTTTAACTTCTAGAAGATTGCACAAAGTGGGAATGAGTTGCTCGCTCCGGGCATTTCAATATTGTAATAATTGTTATGTTATTATACTCATGTAAAAATGAATATTTAAAAAAAACGTAATATTAAAAAATAATCTAATATATAAAAAAAAAAAAATAATGCCCGCTGAGTTTCTTGCCAATTCTTCTCAGGACGGAGGCTAGTTCTTGTGAATCGGCGGTAGTTCTTTTGACGTTCAACAAGTATGTACTTTCATTTATGTTGAATAAATGTTTTTTGATTTGATTTGATTTGATTTCTTATTTATACAATTTCAAACTTAACGAAACATATCGAGGGGCTGAAATAATAGTTTTATATCTTCTTTCCGATATCGTTACTGTTGCCAACATGGTGTCCGGATCAGTCCCTTCGTCCGCTTTGAGCGCCCTTTGACAGGAGTTGATCGACATTCGTGCAGGATCCCAATTTGCTAATACGTTCCATTTGTACGTCTGACAATTTCATTGAACGTCTGCCTGTACAGTTTAATGAAGCGATCCTTGTTCGATCTCAGAACTTTGTTTTTGACGTAAAAAAAAAGGAATAGCCGCTTTGTGTTTCTGAAATTAATAGGCAAATAAAAAAGAAAATAAAGTAATAAATTGGTATATCATTAATTTTATACATTAACATAATATGTATTTAATTAGTGACAAAATAAAATTGTTTGATAAACTTTTTTTTTATAGCTTAAGTGGGTGGATGAGCTCACATTCCACCTGGTGTTAAGTGGTTACTGGAGCCCATAGACATGTACAACGTAAATGCGCCACCCACCTTGAGATATAAGTTCTAAGGTCTCAAGTATAGTTACAACGGCTACCCCACCCTACAAACCGAATCGCATTACTGCTTCACGGCACAAATAGGCAGGATGGTAGTACCTATCCGCGCGGACTCTCAAAAGGTCCTACCACCAGTAAAACTAATTTTCATTTTCTATAAAAACAGCAAGACTGCCCGAACGGCAGGCTGACACCGGCTAAGTTCGTCGACATGTACAAGATGTTCTTCCCATCTGGGAACGCTGTGGAGTTCTGTGACCACGTCTTCCGCACATTCGACATGGACAAGAATGGTTACATTGATTTCAAGGTAACGAATTTAAGGTAACATTCTGGTTCTAGACTTAGAATTAATTGTTTTTCCACTGCGCGAATTTAGCTGGACAACAATTTTCTTCTGAATCCCGGCGTGCAACAACTGTAAGTTCTATGATTGCTCACTCACGGATGCTCTCTTACTTAAATTGTACTGAAAACATGATGTGTTCACGTCATTTATGCTTATGATTTTGTGTAAAATCAGAGTTTCCACATAATGGGTAATTAACGTAATACGCTCGAAAATATATATATATAAAAAACGCTAGCTCTGCATTACCTGTTTCATTTCTGTTCTATTCTTTTTAGTTTTATTCGAATTCTTCAATAAAACAACCGAAACACACTTTTGAATAATAATCAAATAATATAACAAGAAATTCCAGGAATTGAATCCCAATTCTTTTTACAAATGAATTGTAAGTGAAACTTAGTAAGAACTTTATCAATAAGCTGAGTTTCTGTTCGATATAAATTTAAAATGAGATTCAAGATTAATTTCTTTATTATTGTTTTCCTCATTCGATTGACAGTTCTTTTTTTAATTTCATAAATTCACGGATATACATTTTTGCTCATGCCGTAAAAGAAGAACTTTGAATTTGTATTAACTTGAAGAAGGTTTTAAGTGACACGAACACATTATTTTGAATCTTATTACATATACTTTTGAGTTTAAGAAGAGAGCGTGCACAATCATAGGACAGGGCTGTGTTTTCGCTAGCGAATTGTTCGAACGTATGTTCTCGATGCGAAAGCGAACGATTTCAGAAGATATGCAGCGGCGATTGTTCATCACAATGATTAAGTTCCTTGTACTGCAAGGGGTTTCCGCAATACGTTTAATGTTTATTATAGGAGTTCCTCCAAGCCATTCACGTTACGTCGAGCGGCACACCAGAGGAGAAACTGAAGTGGGCCTTCCGAATGTACGATGTTGACGGGAACGGGGTCATCGACATCCAGGAGATGACCAAAATCGTCCAGGTTAGTAGTAGATACTGTTCTTTTTTTTTCTTTAAACATTTCCTCAACACATCCTTTTTAATTACTTTTATTAGCTTCAGACGTATGTATGTAACGGAATCTTTGAACATGATTTTGACCTTCAAAACGTCGGATTAACTCGAAATTTGGCATACTTATCAAGGACCGATGACAATTCAAGATTGAAAAACAAAAAAAATAATCGAAATTCAACTAAAAACGCTTTTTTTACAATAAAATTTTATAAAAAACTTTTTCTTACGCTAATTTTAATTCAAATTTATTAAAATTAATTTTCTATTTTTTAGTTGAATTTTCTATAAAAGCGTATTTTTTTAGTTTTTTTAGTATCCATATTCCATTTATACATAATATCTTAAGGTGGAGTGATTTAATTAAAGTCAAGGCCTTTAGACAGACACCTACGGCGCGCCTACACCGTGAATGTAAATAAAAAACTGCATCCATTTTATAGTTTTAAAACCATAACAGAAGGCGTCTTGATTATCTAATCTCATATAAGATAAATCGGGTTTGCTCATGAACATCAGCTAGATAGGTGGTTAGTGTCGGCAGATGGTTCTCTCGTTAAGATGACGGGAGCCAGAAATGAATAATGATTATGTATTCCTAACCGTGCTCAGCAAGTATAAAGTGAAATATCTTCCAAGAAGAAGTTACATTTCTGCGGCGTTATTGAATTATTTACTAACTCATCATTTATTCATTATCTGAAATATAGTTTCACGCATAAATACATAATACGTACAGAAAATTATAGCTACAAATTTTGAATTAAACTCTGTGCTACATTGACCCTCGTAACTTCGGCACACAAATACCCTCTGAGCTATTTTCCTAAAGGCGTCGAAATAAGTATAATTTCAATAAATAAGGAAAGAAAATGTTTAATTTCAAACGTCCCCAAGCTAGGATTTTCTTCTGTGCTGTTTTAGGTACTGTAGACAATGACAAGTATAATCTGACCCCGAATGCCAGAGCTAAATAAATATCTTATTATTATACTGTTTTAATTGATTTATCTTCACATATAAATACCAAAACAATCAGTCCGTCAAGGTCAAGCCGGCAATGCTCAATGAAAATTCACTCTTAAAATCAAATCAAAGTTGAATTGAACTTTTAAAACAGTCCTATTCGTCAAATTTACATAAACCGCAAATCCAAAAAAAAACACAATCAGCTTTACTCGTACAAACTATTTCGTTTCGAATGGTATATATTTTTGTGTCGGATTGAAGCGGATTGCAGACGAAATAAGACTACAGGAAGTATATCGGTGTCCGGGTGGACTTAATCCGGACACGGCTTTACAGAGCGTCGGACGGCATTAGGTTGTGTTGCGGGAATCCGATTGAACACTGATGCATGGCGCAACGAGTTAAATAGCGTCAATGGCTATAATCGATCACTTAGTGTTATTGGTTTTCGTTGATTGCAATGAACAGCTCGTTTAGAATCAAATGGAATTTTAGTACGCAAAATTTATTATTAGTGATGAGGTCGAAAAATGAAATTAACAGCTTTGTCTGTTCGTCGGTCGCTGGAAGGAATGAGATAATTTAGAAGTGCAAAGAGACTTTGACTTGATACCGATCATTCTAGTATATCATTTTTCATTGAAGTGGAGTTCGTTTCTTCCATCTGGAAACTAACTTCCCTTTCCAGGGGTGTATTCTATCTCTTCCTACTAAACTTCTGAGTCAACTACATACATTTTTTAATATTCTCTCAGCCCTATTACGAGGTTTAATATAAACTTTATTGTACGTACTGCGTAGCTGTCTTTTTACTATTGACGGCTTACCATTACTTAGACCGTGAGTACAGCGTTTCATTAGTCTTTCACAAAAAGAGGGAATTTTTTTATATCCCGATTATTTATGCTCCCGTTTATAAATATATCTATATAGGTATAGATTTAAATAATTAAAGTTTATAAATATATCTCGTACAAAATAAAATCGAAATCAATTATCAATTCAACACGTACGTACAGCAGTAACCAAAGCGAGCGGTTACTGCGGTTCGGGGTGGAACGCGTAATGGACGCATCACGTCAGCGTGAATTGTACGTCGGTATATTGCCGGTGGCACAGAATAACCTGTGGTTAGCTTTAAACAGCTGTCACGGAGTTTCCTTCCAGTAAACCGAATTGCGGTCATTCCTGTGCTCGTTGCACTGCTTGTCAAATTTTACTGACACAAATCCGATTTTTAGAACGCTTAGTTTCAATTGCGACTGGTTTTATTTCGAGAGCGGTCTATAGTACAGAAATGAATTGTACGTCGGTATATTGCCGGTGGCACAGAATAACCTGTGGTTAGCTTTAAACAGCTGTCACGGAGTCTCCTTCCAGCAAACCGAAATGCGGTCATTCCTGTGCTCATTGCACTGCTTGTCAAATTTTGCAGATTCAAACATATCCGATTTTAGAACGCTTAGTTTCAATTGCGACCGGTTTTATTTCGAGAGCGGTCTATGGTACAGAAATAAATGGTTCCGATGAAGCCAGTTTAGCTAAATTCGCAAATCGTTCCTTAGAATACCACTGAATGGGCACGGTGAACGGTTTCTCAGAAAACAATTGTTTTTGAATCAACAAACGGTAAATCCCTTGACTTATTAATAATTGTGGAAATTATAATGACTTTTTGTCAGTGAATTTGTTTCACGTACATTTGATGTTTCAATTTGGGTTGGAATCTTCTCGATGTTATGCTTTAAAGCATGGATTTAAAAATCAATTAGTGTCGGGATTATCCTGGGAAACAGAAATATACTTTCTTCAAATTACGAATGACATTAACCGCGTCACAAGGAAGTTGTTAGAAGAAAATCTGATTATTAATTAGGAGTTTTATTTATTGTTTAAATGAAAATATTGTTATAAAAGAGAATAAAATATAATTCGTTAATTTATTTTAGAAAAAAAAAAATTATATAAATGTCTTGGTTTATTTCACTGCTATGGTTGGTGATTTATGAAGCAAATTTTCACGCATAGCATTGTGAACCCGTACGGATAGGTATAACAATAATGCCTACATATTTCGGACACGAAGTTGTCATAAGTTCTGGTCTGAGCTGTCGGGCGGCCATTAGCACAACTTAAACTGAAACTTCTAACTCATGTTCAAGGTTGGTGCCGCTATTCATGTCTATGGGCATTTAAAACCAGGCCATCCCTTGTTCATCTCTTGTTTTCCTTATCTCAACATTAGTTAGAGTGGCGTCGGCATAACATGTTCTCATATTATGCTGAATGGGGATTTGGTATAAGTTTTATGATCGGCCGCCAGCCTGACGTCAAACCTCCTTGGATTACATCTCCAGTACGGAAAAATAAAAAGCCTGACGTCAAACCTCCTTGGGTTACATCTCCAGTACGGAAAAATAAAAATATCACATTTATGTGGGCAAGATAAAAATAGTCTGGAAATCTAAATTTCCGACAAGAACGCACTGTTTGATATCTAATGTAATCTTTGTTGCTGCATAACCTAGTTTGTATAGTATAATTGATTTAAGCAAGCACGGATGTACGTTAACTGGCCGGAAGCAACGGTGATTTCCGGAAAGTTAGGAGCACTTACCATGCACTTGTAGTTCCGATGGTTGGTCAATTAAGACGAAAAGTACTTTATTAGGGGGGTTGCGGTCAGCGTTACTTTTTTTTCTTTTTTTTTTCCTACCTAAGCTGATTGTCTATAGAGACCATATTAGCGTAAGCATTAGTGATGTACAGTAGTTCCAGTTTGTCTATCTATTCCGGACGCTATTGAATACGCAAAAAATATGAACTATCTAATAATGTTGAGTATGATAAAAAAATCTATAACATTCTTTATGGTTCTGCATTAATTATCAATGTATAAAAGTCGGTTTGTGGATTAAAACAAAAGTAAATCAATACGAATATTAAAATCTCACCACCGCTAAAGAACAAACAACGTAATTGAAAAGTTTTTTCTTATTCAACTTGACACGAAGGAAAATCGCTGTGGCGTTTGAATAGTTAATCTAAAAAGCCAATACTCTGCGGGCAAACAACTTTATTAAACTAAGGAAAAGCGGAACGATTTCGAGTGTTGTTTGCGATTTGTAAATGCACATAGATTTTCGTTTCTTTTAATTAAGAATTCAAATCGCGCAAATAAAATAGATAAAGGATTTAAAAAAGTTAGCCTTTCATTTTTTCATTGCCTTTTATATCAATAACCGAGACCATTGCAATTGTGCCCCAGCCGATTGAACCAGTCGGCGAACAATGGATCATTGTTGCAGGCTTTATGTGAGATACCACAGAGTTCAGCACGTCGGGGGATCTGCTGTACGTTGCCTTTAACCTTTATGTTAGTCGGATCACATTCATCCGTTATAATTCTATACAAATCCTTTTTACATGATTCATATGTACGTTTATCGATTGCGTTGCATTCTTAATATTTGGACTCCATTGTTAATGTTTTATTAAGTTTGTATAACTTACCCGCTTTACACAAAGTAGGGAATGTTACGAACGAAAAAAGAGGTAGGCGTCAGGAAAGAATTTGCGAAGGAAACGATGAATAAGCCAGTGATAATCGACATAAGATTCTATGTTCATTCATTTATTTTGAATTCATTAAATTACAAATACATTGTAATGTATTTGTATTATATCGCAATACAGAGTATCTCAGGCGACCTAATTTCAGTTATTTAATGTGTATATACTTGTTAGTTTGTACATATTATACAAATAATGTGTAGAAGTTTGCTTTTTGGAGAGCGTGACCACAAATTAGTGTTTATTTTTCTAATTTCTTTAAAAATCAATTTATTTCAAAAATAAAACAAATATTTGTAATTTTTTTTATTTTTGCACTGAAGGTACGGATTGGTGTTTTTGGACATAAATGTTTCTATGTTTATCATTTATGCTTGTTAAGTGATGTTTTTCTAATATCTATCATCCTTACAGTAAGGAGAAGCT